AACATTTTGGTACTAATTTCGTGAAAATTGGTCCATAAATGCGCATGCGTGTGGGTGGAGGTGTAACACTTGAAAAAACCACATCGTCGCCAAAAATTTGCAACATTTTGGTACCAATTTTTTAAAAAATCCGTTCATAAATATGCGATTGTGTGGGTGGATGCGTAGGTGAAAGCGTAAACTTAAAAAACCCCACACACATACACAGAGAGAGAGAGAGAGAGAGAGAGAGAGAGAGAGAGAGAGAGCGTGTGTCTTAAAGAAAGAGGGAGGGAGAGAGATAAGGAGAGAGAGAGCATGTGTCTTAAAGAGAGAGAGAGGGAGCGCGTGTGTTTTAGAGTGAGAGAGAGAGAAACGTGTCTTAAAAAAAGAAAATAAAATATCTGGGAGAAAGAAATAGATAACATAGTAGTCATCCACAAAAAATTTAAACATTTATTTTGGTATAAATTTCGTGAAAGTCGAACAACAAATGTGGAAGTAGTTCGCGGTAATACAAAAAAAGAATTAATTTTTGTGTTAAAACGGATTTAATATAGACTATATGAGGACCGCGCAAAGCGCGGTCCGAATAGAAAGGCTGGCTTTGAGGACCGCGCGAAGCGCGGTCCGAAAAGCTAGTATATATATATATATGAGGTATTATTATGAAGTGATCCACCCAAAGTTTTTCAATCACGCTGAAATTTGCAGAAAGTGTAGTCTTATCAAAAGTAAAATTATTCCTCAAGTTGTTTGGCCACACTATACAGGCTCTGTGTTAACGGGACTTTTGGAATTTTTATCATTTTTGCCGTTACGTCCAACTTCAAACGTTGATAAATTCAGAAGACTACTCCGATTTAAAAAATAAGGTGTGATTTCGAAAGGTCTCTTTACGTACTTTAATCTTGTAAAATTAGTTTTTTCTTTCAATAACAATTTTATAAGATTTTCAAAAAACAATGTAAAAATCAATTTTTTCTCAAATTTAAACATCTTCGATTTCTTCAAAAAATCTTAAAAAGAAAGTATATTTCTCGATCGACGCAAGTCGAGACACAAGTCTGGTTTCTCTTTATTTGACGATGACGACTACGATGGATTTCGGAATAATTTAAAATGCTGCTTTGACTTGATCGATTCTTTATTACATTGCTCAGAGAGAAATAACTTGAGGCAGTGATAGGAATAATAATGTTCTTCTTTCGCCGAATACGTGACATTATATTAAGTAGTCCCCACGGGCGGTCTCGCAGGTCGCGAATTTTACCGAAATAAGTCGATCACTTCCTCGTGTCCTAAATTAATTCAACCCGATAACAATCGGTGCGTTATAAACGGAGCAAATATAATACTTAGTCTTTATAATAACACATACTCTCAAGATAATAACAAGCTATTGTTCGCTTTATAAGCTGTTTGTCACAACATTAACATAAAACAAGTAATAATAATATAACGATACAAAATATTATAATTCGATAAGTATGAAACAACTTCGTCGATTCTGCATACTTCGTATTTCTAATAGTACTTTTTTTTTAATGATTAGAAAAAAGTATTTAAAATCAATCTTTTTGATCAATTTTTGCTTTATTTTAATTTATATAAATTTATTCTTTTATCACACAATCATGTAAAATATGATTTTATTTATAGAAAAGAGATGTTATAATTTATTACTGCAATAACTAATTACTATAATTAATGCTATTATTACTATAATTAATAACTAATGCTATAATTAATTACTAATTATGCTTACATATAAACTTCTATAATCTAATCTTCTTTTTTGATGAGGAATAACTTGGAACAATACAAATCCAAATCTCAATTATAATATTTATTAAATGTAATTTAAAAATATAATTTAAAAATAACATATACATATATGTATATTTTTAATATACATTAAATGACATTAAACTAAATAAATAAAACACATATATGTACTTCTTACTAATTTCCATTTCATATTACATTGACTAATTTTTAATAATTGTTTAAAAATAAAAATGTATATAAATAATACATCAAAGTTCTTCTGGAAAATGATAATAAAAGATTATGCACCTACTGTTATGCTAATAATATAAAATCAACATTTTTTTTGCAATTTGTGTTGCACCTTTTAAAGCAAAACTTAAAATAGCTTTTACTATAAAATCTATATTTTAATACAAGAGAAGCATTATCGTAAATTAAAGAAAAGTTTAATTTGCATTTATTATAAATATGAACTTTATATATATTGTATATTGTTGTGCCTCCGGGAAGGCACGGAAAATTTTGGGGTCTCAGTCGACTGAAAGATGAGGATCCTAGGATCGGCGGGCGTTTCCACTTTGACTAACTTCGCTTGTTTATCTGAATAAATCTTTTATTTCCTTATTTCTTGAGTTGGTTTAATTCTGTATAATCCCACCTGGGTGGTTAGTTAAGTATGCTCGCTCTCGATAGTCAGATTACAGGTGATAGTTTATATTCTGCGGCTTGTCTTCGACTCCTAGTTAGGTTCTAATTAGCGACTTGACTTTTTGGATTTTCGTTAACGACTCACTTCATCGCCTCGCTCTCCGTTCGCGGTGGTCTCCTGCCTTTTCTACATCTTTCGGGGGAAGGTGTAGAGAAACTCTTTCATTGGCTAATTTTTATTCACACGCTTTTATCTAGGTGCAAGCGAAGCAGGTTGATTCTTCGCTTGCGATCCGCGGTTTTCGGTGTAACGCTTATATTTCATCGCGTTTGCGTCTTTTCGCGATAAGCGCTTCACGAGAGCGTGAGAACGTTTCTCAAATAATTGTATAAAGCCGACTTACTAATTTATTATTAAAACTATATATAATATAATATAGTTATAGTCATTCGGACTATAACAATATATTTAAATTTTATTGTATTTTAATTCATAAAAATTTTATATTATTTAATATTATTGTTCAATAAATAATATTCTTATCTTTAATAAATAATATTGTTTCTTTTAAAGATATAAGACAGGCAATAAGAGCCAACTCGCGGATGACAGTGCGTTATCCTAACGAAACTAAATTTTTCGTTAGGATTAAGTATCTGTGCACAAGGCACCAAATTTTACTTGGTCACGGCCAAGATTTAAAATATGAAATAATCTCATATTTGAGATTTGAGATTATTTTACCAAATTACTTGGTCACGGCCAAGATTTAAAATATGAAATAATCTCATATTGAGATTATTTTATATTTTAAATCTTGGCCGTGACCAAGTAAAATTTGGTGCCTTGTGCACAGATACTTAATCCTAACGAAAAATTTAGTTTCGTTAGGAAACGCACTGTCATCCGCGAGTTGGCTCTTATTGCCTGTCTTATTGTTTGCGTGTACGCTCGATTGCTGACGTTGAACGCTCACGCACGAAGCTACGGATCCTGACAATCGGTTGTAAATCCGATCGTCGATATCCGTCTCGTGTATAGATTGCACAGGAAGATTCAAAGTGGACTGTATCTTAAGGAGGGTGGACGCGCTCCGATTGGTGCGCAGGATGGGTAACGATTTAAGCCACGTGCCGAATCGAGAACCAGAATACGGAATTATATGCACAAATTACACAAAAACAATCCATTTATTAACTAAATTTGTCCGAGAGTCACAATGTACATAAACGCAAATTAATTTGAAACCTTTACATAAAATCTTTATCTATTAACGAATAAAATAGTCACCGCGAAAACACGTACGACGTGGTTGTTAAGCAGTCCGAAATGTCTCACTATATGGTATCTAGCATGTGTTGCATGGACACCACCGAAAAACTATTTGTTGCATAACAATTGCTAGTTACGATGAACACGCTCGAAACTCGTGTATCGAATCGTTCGAAATCTCACATTAAGATTTTGTACACGTTGCCGATTGCGGCGAATGCGATATTAAATCGCGAACCGAAATGTTTCAATTAACATGAAGAATCACTGATCACATAAATGTTACAGTGCGTTGAGCACCACGGGCTCGAAGGGATGAAAAAAAGGAACGCAAACACAATCACGACATCAGGTATCAGTCCCAGATGACTGATCACGTGATCTGCGCGCTCCAACTCACGTGATCTACGCGTGCCAAGCGAACACGCGCGAGCCTCATGTATACAATTATTACGTTCGTGGAAACAATCGGACTTCGGCACCTTGATATTTCACCATTGCGTGAATTCTGGTCCCAAATCACTGAATTCCGCTTCGTTAACAATGTTTTGAGCGCAAATTTTATGTCGCGTATATAACGGCGCACCTTGTTGCTACCGTTAATTAGCGAATGTCAAAGTGAACGTATTTCACATCTCACTTATCACTGAATCACAGAATCAGATCAGAATATCAATCTGATTATTTTTTTTTATTAATCAAACGAACTACGAACAATTAGAATCGCGACGGAAAACCCACATGTGACTAATCGCAAAGCCGTGCCAGGAGCGAATGCCCAGGTTCGATGACGAGGCAGTTCATCCCCGATCGATTCGATAATCGAACGCTTGAAGCGCGGCGTGTAGGTTCAGTGCGTGCTGCCCCGTGCCGGATTAACTCAAAAATTATAGAATTTCAAATTATCGACCTACTTCTTCATTCTCTTTGAACAAATAATAAAGTTCTTGACCTGGGGTCAACTACTTCTGAACATACCGCCCGCCTCGAAATAAAGATTTCGAAATGTCTTACAGTAACTAAAGAACTTACCCCAGGTTTGGGTTTTTTTTTGTTACATAAAAGAAAAAAAAAAAGGAAAAATAAAACGTTAATCGCTTAATGATTTTTCGAGTGAGATTCAGTGATTACATATTGAACAATAACAGGCATTTGGTTGCTTACATGATTGAATAACAATATTAAGACATAGATTCTTACTAAACTTACATTAACGCGACGCGAGTGGTCTTGAGTAGTCAAGGATATTGAGCGCCGCCCGCCTTAACTAACTACGAAGGACTTGACTTGTCCTAATTATGCGAACGATTGAGACGTTGCATGCGCATTATGGAGTTGGGTTTTCCGCAGTACCTGTCTTACGTTCCGACAGTTGATCGATTAAGTTAATATCGATAGGTAGTAGGCACAATTTAGTTACTGGTCGCTTGTATTCGGACGTCGCTGTTTTAACTGAGACGACTCGAGTTAACCCGTCAGAGCCCGGATGACAATGAATAACTCGCCCTAATTCCCATTTACACGGTGGGAGAAGGGGGTTTTGAATCAAAACCATTGAGCCAACCTGAATCGGAGGCGTTTCTCGACGCCACTTTGATCTTTGTTGAAGAGTATTGACATAATCTGACTGCCACTGCTCCCAAAAACGCTCCGTAATCTGTCTGAGTAATTGCCATCGCGACAATCTGTTTTCGTTCAATTGTAGAACGGAAGGTTCCGGATTCGTAGTAATGGCAGTCCCAATCAAAAGGTGACCTGGGGTCAGGAACTCGTAGTCATCTGGAGTATCATTGAGTGGAGAAAGCGGCCTTGAGTTGAGGATAGCCTCAATTTTGCACAACACTGTCGTGAACTCCTCAAATGTCAATGCGTGTGAGCTTACAATTCGACGAAGGTGGTGTTTGACACTCTTCACTCCTGCCTCCCATAGTCCTCCAAAATGAGGAGCATGAGGCGGGATGAAACTCCAAGTGATCCTATCTGTTGCGATTAAATTGAGAAAATCCGTATTGCGTTGAGCATCCCGATACGCGCGGGATAGCTCTTTATCGGCTCCTGTGAATGTTGTACCGTTATCCGAATACATAACTGCTGGCAAGCCTCGTCTGGCGCAAAATCGTTGAAATGCGTTCAAAAATGCTGGCGTTGAATAATCGCTGACCAACTCGAGATGAATGGCTCGAGTTGCCAAACATATGAAAACGGCTATGTAAGCCTTTCGTGAGGTGATTCCTCGACCAGCAGAGGCTCGAATGAGCACTGGACCGGCATAATCGATGCCGCTGTGCAAAAACGCCCTCGTTGGCGTTGAGACTCGAGTTGATGGGAGTTGACCCATTAACTGATTGGCTACCTGAGCTCTTTCTCGCGTGCATCGAACGCACCTGTAGATAACTGATTTAACTAAAGGCCTAGATTTTATAATCCAAAATTCTTGGCGAATTTTAGACAGGGTAGACTGAAGACCGGCGTGCAGCGAGGCTATGTGCGTGTAGCGAATGAGCATTGTAGTAATTGGATGATCAGCTAGTAGAACTGGATGTTTGGATTGAAATGGTAGATGAGAATGCTCCAATCTTCCGCCAACGCGGAGTAGACCATTTGCGTCTAGGAATGGATTTAATGATATCAGAGCGCTGTTTCTTGATAACCTCTTGTTTGACTTGAGTAAGTAAAGTTCTTGCTTGAACACCTCTGCTTGAATCATATGCAACCAAAAGTTACGAGACTGCATGTACTCAAATGCTGTAATGGCGTGGGACCGACGTGATCTTTGTGATCTGCCGCGTGCTTCCGTTGACATTTGTTTATGAATCGGTATATATATGCAGTGACGCGTATCAATTTTGGCCACCATGAATACCGTGCAGCAAGACTCCAGTCTTCACGAGTACTGTTTTGATGAGCTTCACATGCCTTCAGTTCCAACTGAGTTTCGTGGTGCTCTGATAGAATTTGATGAGGCCACTCATCAGAATGAAGATGCAACCATGACGGCCCATGCCACCATAGGTTGATGGATATCAAATCTCGGCCGAGTAATCCGCGCGAAGCACAGTCTGCGGGGTTTTCACTGGTGTTTACGTGATGCCAACTACCGGTTGGTAATCGTGTCTGAATTTCGGCTACTCTATGAGCTACGAAAGTTTTCCAATTTGAGGGGTGCTTCTTGAGCCATGCGAGAACTACAGTGGAGTCTGTCCAACAATAAATCGCAATGTCGCTTAAATGAAGTGACTGCTTGATAAAGTCAATCAAGCGAACTAGCAGAACGGCAGCAGAAAGTTCGAGGCGAGGAACCGTCATTGGTTTAAGAGACGCGACTTTAGATCGCCCAGCAATGAGCGAGACCGTAATTTTCCCAGAGGAGGATGTCACGCGTAAAAACACCACTGCTGCGTAAGCGATTGTGGATGCGTCCGCGAACCCGTGTAATTCCACAGTTGCCGTTCCGGACTCAAAACCTGTCCAGCGACTCAGTTGAATTTTTCGTAGATAGGGTAATGACTCGTAGATAGACTTCCAGGATGATAAGATTTCGTCCGGAATAATGTCGTCCCATCCGATACGGTGTCGCCATAATTGCTGCATGAGAGTTTTCGCCTTTAAAATCGCAGGTGTGACCCACCCGAGCGGGTCGAATAATCTTGCTATTGTTGATAGAATTGCTCGTTTGGTGTTAGGAACAGTTTCAGATAATGTAATTTGAAACTGAAAGCAGTCATGTTTCGGGTTCCAGACAATACCGAGGATTTTTAGACTGTCATCAGTCTCCAAATTTTTGCGTAAGCCAATCCATGATTGTCAGGCTGAATATCTGAAAGCAATTCTGAGTGGTTACTGGCCCATTTCCGGAGATCGAAACCACCACGGTTCAGCAAATTACAAAGTTGAGTGCGAGCTTGCTTTAACAGTGTGATATCGTCTGCACCAATAATACATCATCGACGTAGATGTTTTCTCTTAGGATGGGAGAGGCTAACGGAAATGAATCTCCCTCGTCACAGTTCAATTGTTGGATTACTCGAAGAGCAAGAAACGGTGCTGACGCAGTGCCGTAAGTAACGGTAAGGAGTTGATATTCCTGTATAGTTGAGTTGTGGTCGACCCACAGTATCCGTTGGTAGTCTCTATCTCTAGGATCGATTAATATTTGGCGATACATTTTAGCGATGTCCGCAGAATATACATATTTATATTGCCTCCAGCGCAATATAACTGCTTGTAGATCGGACTGCAATTTTGGGCCGGTGTACATGTGAAAGTTGAGAGACGTTCCATTGGATGTGAGGCAGGAGGCGTCGAACACGACTCTTAAACGGGTTGTCGAACTTGTCTCCTTGATGACTGGATGATGAGGTATATAGGTCGCTTGAACATTATTTGAATGCAAAGGAGCGACTTGCTTCATATGATTTAATTGCTCATATTCGCGCATGAAGTCCAAATATTCTTGTGCAAGTGTGGGTTGACGAGCAAATTTACGAATTAGCGACGAAAGTCGGCGTTCAGCTATGCTGCGAGAGTCGCCTATTTTAATAGGCGGGCCCTCTTTAAAAGGGAGTCGCACGACATATCTGCCATCTGCTGTTCTAGTATGCGTGCGTTGAAAGTGATCCTCGCATTGTTTATCTTCTATGGACGCATGAACTTTGAGGAGTTTCTTCAACCTCCCAAAACTTACATAATTGCCGTTCCAAGGAGCAGCAGTGAGCAACTGCATGATACCTTTGTTGTGAACTGGGTAATGGTGAGCCTTGAGGTTGGGCTCCGACATGCGATGAAACCAAAGTAGAGCCGACTACATGGGTGTTTTGTATGACATGATTAGGATTGACGTAGGTCCAGATAGAATCCACCCGAAATGCGATTGTATAGCGTCTGGTTGACCTATGGGTCCATTGCGTATATTGACAAGAACCTTGCTATACAAATCAGCTCCAATAATGAGGTCAATAGGAGTTGATCCAGTCGGATCGTCATCCGCTAAGGTCAAGTTGGAGATGTGTTTCCAGTCACGTAATGACGAAGCGTGTCTGGGAGCATACTTCGTCAATGCTCTCATGATGTAAGCTACCGTGGTGAAGGTTGGCTCAGGTTTATCGCGAGGCGAAATATTAATTAACGCGGCAGATCGGCATGTACCGGTATCTGCACAGCTAATCCCGAAGTTGAAGTAAATGTTTGCATACGAGGTAAGCGTAAAATTTGCGCTACGCGTTCCGTAAGAAATGTGAGTTCTGAACCACCGTCAAGTAAGGCTCTGACAGTTAAGGAACGTCCAGAAAGCGAATGTATTTCACCGTTGCCGTAGACAACACCACAGGAGTCGGTGATGTAGTTAACGTGACCGCTGAAAGCGCTGTGACATTTGATATATTAGTAACATTCTGCGAACTCGATGACGCAGGAATGCTCGTTGTTTGTTGCAATGAGCCCGAGTCAACGTGATCATTGTGTGATGCCGCTTGCTACATTTGCGACACGTGAATTTACTCTGACAATTAAGTGCTACGTGCTTATCGCTTAAGCAATTGAAACATCGCTTAAGTTTCTTTATCAATTTGCGTCGTTGATCCGTGCTCATTGAAAGAAATTGTTGACACTTAGAGAGAAAGTGAGATTGTTTACAAATTGGACATGACAAATTAACTGACGCAGTTGCGGTGGCGCTTGTCACTCTCGAATGTGACTTCGTTTTATTGTGTTCGTGAGGATGGAGTTCCTCAAGCGCTATAGCGCGCGAAGATATGAAACGTATCAAGTCTTTGTACGTTGGAGGATTTTCGTTATCGCTACTCTTCAATTTCCACGCTCGACGCGTAGCAGAATCAAACTTTTGTGAAATGAAGTATACTAATATATCGCTTACAATATCCTCTGCTGTACGATCAAGACGTTTCAATGTCGCTAACGCTTGTTCCGTTTTATCTCGCAACTCGTGAAGTTCTGACGCTGATTCGCGAGTCATCTTTGGAAGATGATATAGGTCGACACATGTACTTCGATCAACCGTCGTTTGTTCTCGAAACGCGTGGTTAACGCTTTCCACGCGACCTTTAAAATTTTCGGCGGTTACTTTGATTCCTGATATCGCATCGCGGGCCGGACCTGTCAAACTAGAGATCAAAAAATGCATACGAGTGAAATTTGACAATTCTTTGTTATCTATAATCAACGACTGAAAACGGTCGCGAAAGGTCTCCCAATCCTCGTTTTTTCCAGAAAAAGGCGGTAATTTAATAGGAGGGAGATGCTTTAACGAGAATGACGATGCGTCCATTTGCGCAAAAGAAGTTTCGAGGGATGTATCTCGACTTACGACAGGAACCAGGTCTTCTAGACATTCGTTCATATGATCCAAGGGTGATTGATAGAGATCTTCGTGAAGGTCGAATTGATTCTTCTTGAAATAATTAATTGACCTTGATCATCCTCTGGAACAAGTTGAAGCAGAATGGTGTGATTGTGCACACCTTGAGTCCATTGAGCTTGTAAAGTCGCAATCCGTGAGCGAACCCTTGCGGCCGTCAAATTAGAACGACCAATCTTTTTGAAATTGTCGAGAGCTCGAGCAATTGAGTGGAAGATAGTTTGCTGATTTGCAAGAGCGTCTTCCATTTTGACACTATAGTTGTTTATGAATATGTCACTAACACGATTGTCTACTTAAACGCGATTACTTGACTGACTGTATCTCGAATCACGCTGCACTTAAATATCACTGGTGTCCTTAATTCAGTGTTCTCGATTCGTCATTACTCTCCCATCCGGCTCGAAGGACCAAAAATGTTTGCGTGTACGCTCGATTGCTGACGTTGAACGCTCACGCACGAAGCTACGGATCCTGACAATCGGGTTGTAAATCCGATCGTCGATATCCGTCTCGTGTATAGATTGCACAGGAAGATTCAAAGTGGACTGTATCTTAAGGAGGGTGGACGCGCTCCGATTGGTGCGCAGGATGGGTAACGATTTAAGCCACGTGCCGAATCGAGAACCAGAATACGGAATTATATGCACAAATTACACAAAAAACAATCCATTTATTAACTAAATTTGTCCGAGAGTCACAATGTACATAAACGCAAATTAATTTGAAACCTTTACATAAAATCTTTATCTATTAACGAATAAAATAGTCACCGCGAAACACGTACGACGTGGTTGTTAAGCAGTCCGAAATGTCTCACTATATGGTATCTAGCATGTGTTGCATGGACACCACCGAAAAACTATTTGTTGCATAACAATTGCTAGTTACGATGAACACGCTCGAAACTCGTGTATCGAATCGTTCGAAATCTCACATTAAGATTTTGTACACGTTGCCGATTGCGGCGAATGCGATATTAAATCGCGAACCGAAATGTTTCAATTAACATGAAGAATCACTGATCACATAAATGTTACAGTGCGTTGAGCACCACGGGCTCGAAGGGATGAAAAAAGGAACGCAAACACAATCACGACATCAGGTATCAGTCCCAGATGACTGATCACGTGATCTGCGCGCTCCAACTCACGTGATCTACGCGTGCCAAGCGAACACGCGCGAGCCTCATGTATACAATTATTACGTTCGTGGAAACAATCGGACTTCGGCACCTTGATATTTCACCATTGCGTGAATTCTGGTCCCAAATCACTGAATTCCGCTTCGTTAACAATGTTTTGAGCGCAATTTTATGTCGCGTATATAACGGCGCACCTTGTTGCTACCGTTAATTAGCGAATGTCAAAGTGAACGTATTTCACATCTCACTTATCACTGAATCACAGCAGAATATCAATCTGATTATT